GTCGGGATCCAAACTGCAGCCCGGGACAGGGGGTCTCGTCCAGGAGGCAGCTAGTGGGAACCAGCTACTGGGGGGTTGGACTCAGCCCCTGAAGCGTGACAGGGCGAGTCTTGCTTTAGACAGGATTTTCCCCAGGAAAAAGCAGCTTCAAAAGGAATCTCCCCTCCATCTCCAGCCCCCTTCGCCGTTGCAGTGTCTGAGCCGGGTCAGGAGTGTGCTCCCGCCGACTGTCTTGTCCCACAGTTTCTTATCTAGATTATACATTTCTTAAGGCAGGGAACTTGTCGTTACATTCTCTCTTGCTCTCCACACTTCGTCCCGCGTGGCCTTGCTCCTGACAGGGATTTTAGGGTGGTCTCACAACACGGTACATACCGATTACAATCCATTTTCACGTCTCGGTACAACAACTTTGCATGTTTTGGGACTTACCCTCCCCTCTTCCCATTGTGGAAGAGCTTATGGAAAGTATACAGGGCCAGGTTAAGAAAGGGGCTTCCTGGGCAGCAACCCAGAGTCTGGGCCAAGGGGGCCCTGCAAAAAGATCTCCAGGCTGCCAGAAGTCCAGATCTTTTTACAAGCTCCCTCCCCACATGCACTGGGCTAGAGCCCTATGGCTGTGAGCACTAGGGTAAGCTCTGGCCAGGTGCTCCTGTCTCCTGCAGGTTGTGCCTCCACTAAACAGGAGCTGCCCCAGGTAGCTGCTCTGCTCCCCAGTCCATGGCTCTGAGCCCCCTTATTGCACTCTCAGTCCCTAACACCCCCTAGAATGCATGTCTCAATCCTCAGCTGAGTCAGCTCCAGTTAACACCCTGCACCCCCAGGCTGACTTCCTGTCTTGAGCCCCCTCTTATCGCCTTGTCCTCAGCCTTGAACTCCCTCCTGCATCCCAAATGCCTTCAGTCTCACCCCCAGAGCCCATACTCCTTCCCACACCTGACCTCCTGCCTCAATTTGCAGCCCACTGCCACACACACAACCCCTCATTTTTGGCCCCACAACGTGTAATAGCTCCAAGCTCCTGGAAGACTTTGCAAATGTATGGTGTGACAACGTGTATATTTGACAAAAGTGCAGTTAAAAAAATTTGAGGAAGCCCTTATATTCAGTCTCTTCAACATAAATCAGGGCTAGAGAATCTTTTATGGGTCAGGGCCTGCTGACCCATAGCAAAATCAGTCGGTGGAGCCACACACAAGCGAGACTCAAAAAACCCAAGACAAAAATCCTATATTCCCCTCAAGTTCCAGCCCCATGGTGGGGGTGGAAGTTGTCCTGGGCTTACCCCCATGGCTTGAATTAACACTTCTCGGGGCCTGGGCCTCTGAGGTGAGGCTAAAAATAAGGGGTTCAGTGTGCAGAAGGTAGCTTTAATGGCGTGGGATAGGGTAGGAATGGGGGGTTACGGGAGGGGAGCAAGCTGGGATGGGGAGGTTGGGGTGTGTGGGGGTCTTGGTTGGTGGTAAGGGGCAGGAGAGTTCTGGGCAGGAGATGGGGGTGCTTACCTGACACAGCTCCAGGAAGGTGGGGAGAAGGTGAGGGTCATATGGCCCTGTGCTTGCAGGCACTGCTCCCACTGGCAATGGTTCCTGACCAATGGCCTATAAGCGAGTGCAAAGACAGAGCTTCCCTGCGTTGCTGTTCCCAGAACTGTTTCTTCCCCACTGCCAAACAGAGCCTGTGGTCTGGATGCAGTCCACAGCTTGCCTTGATCCGGCCTGCAAGGCTAGGGGCTCCATCCCACCCTGCAGTGGGGTAAGCCAGTCCCCCCTCCCCATCCCTGACATGAATGGTCCTAGTGGGCAGGGCTTCATAAGGTTCCATTAAAATATTAGATGGTCTTAAACATGTTAGTGATTTTTTTTTTTTTTTTTTCTAGTACTTCATAACTATTGTAGAAAGTTGTTTCCAAGTCAAGCGAAGTCATGGAGCACCTCATAGAATGGGGTCCTGGATCATGATTAGGGCATTTAGGTGCTATTAATACTACTAATATGCCCTAAATGATTAGTCTTAATGAAGACTGTGGCCGTGTCAAATTTCTCACTTCAGCTGTTGTAGTAGTAAGGTGTCTGCATGTTAAAGCACAAACTAATAAAGATGAGTGGATTATTTTACCCTTCACTCACTGACTACCCTGAAACAGGAAAAAAATTGTTAAAATGTAAAAAGTTCATTTTTGGATAGAAAACAAAACATGGAAACGTTAAGATTCATTCAAATATTTGGAAATGTAGGGTTATAGTATAAACTGTTTTTTATCCTTGCCAAGGATCATAATCCATTTTCCCATAGCTTGTTAAAAGGTAACTACTATTTTTCCCCGTTTGGAAACTATATTCTTGGAATGATTTTCTGGGAAACTCTTGCAAAAGGGATCATTGTTGTTAGTGACTACTCTTTTGGTGAAAGAGGGATAAATACTTTGCAGCAGAAAAAGAGTGTTTGTCTTGAAAATTATTCAGTGATATTAAGGTCTGATTAAGGAGAAACAGCGTTTTCCATCAACTGACTCTGCGGTCTAAGCACAAGGAGAATTCAGGAAGTCCTGACTTCTTTTCCCCCTGTTTTAATTCTCTCTTTGGAATTGGGTGAAACACTTCTGACATTAACTATTTCTAATAACTGTAGTCACTGGCATCCCACTGCTCTTGTTCCATAGCATGGATGGGAAGTTAGCTATGACCTTAGAAATATTGTGTGAGTTATAGAAGGAAGAAACCATAAGAAAGTTAGTAGTTTCACGAGTTGTATAAAAAAGTTACATATTAGAGTGTTCCCCTGGAATTTCCATTGCTAATTTTTCGTGTAACATGTTGCCTTTTTCAAATGGAGAACTAAATATGAGAAATGCAGATTATGAATTGTCAACTTACTTACTCTGCTGTATGAGAACAAAGAATGTTTAGCAGAAAGAGACAATAAATCTTTCTGGTTGCAAAGGGACTATGTCATTATTACAAAAGAAGAGAAAGCGATGCTTTTTTTTGGTCGTCATTACTATAAATATGTTTGCTGAGTAAATTGTTCAATATTGAAAAAAATGTGAAGAGTACCCCAAAAAAATTGAATCTGTCTCTTTTTTTATTTCAGGGTATGCTATGACTGGTTTCAGATTGCCTGTCACTGCCTTTAAAAAACTAAATGTTTGTCTTGGAGCCTGGGAGAAATTCCCCTCTTATAAACTGTGCTTGTCCTGGAGGAGATGTGTATACTCTAGCCACCAATCCAATATAATAAACTACAGAAAACACTTCGGCATTTTTCCTGTGAAATATGATGTATTTTTAAGACCACATTCACAATGTATTTCAGTGCTTTGTGTACGACTTAAAAGTGACAAAAGGTCTAGAAAGAAAAAACAAACCCTTCAAGAAGAAGAAGAGGAGGAGGAGGAGGATGAAGAAGATGAAGAGAGAAGTAATTCGGAGGATGATGAATTTGAAAATGATCCCAGTATAGTGAAAGATTACAAGGATCTTGACAAAGTAGTCCAGTCTTTTCGTTATGATGTAATAATGAAAGCTGGTCTTGATATTGCGAGAAAGTAAGTATGTGAGATTTATATTGTTTACTGATAAGGATATAGCAAATAATTAAATGTTTTTTTTGTATCTTTTTTCTTGCTGCAATAACTTAGTGAAGATTCTTTTTTATAACTTTAATAATATACCTCTAAAGAGAAATATGGCTCTTTATCTTTTGGAATCTGGCTTTTACAGAATTCTACTACTTAACACTGTCTGACACTAATACTACTTAAAGAGACCATGATAATTTTAATATATGCTTTTAACTGCTGATTTAAAAAGAAAGAGTTTAAGTATGTCTCTAAAGAATGGAAACGTAATTGGAAGAATTTTAAAAAATACACTAGAACAGTCTTACCCACTTTTATAGTAAATATAAACCTGGTATACCTATGTCCACGAGACATACATAAATCTTATTAACAGGTCCCTTACAATGTATAACCTGTTCCAGAGGATTTAGGAAGCCTGTTAGTTACAATACATTGGCTATCCTCCTCAAGTCATACAAAAGCCAACATTTCTAAAATGATTGATGGCATATGTAAAGGGTATTGTATATTATAATAATTCTTAAATTGCCTTTGTACCTGTGGCACAGAACAGATACAAATTATTTGTTCATTCAGCATATCCTTGATTTCCATCTTTAAGTCAGTGTTTAAATAACCTTCACATAAATTCTTCTGGACTACACTTTGCCTGTTAATTGTGGGTTTTGCTTGTCTGTAAGGAAACAACTGCTCTGGTTTACTATGCACTGTAAATTCAACCCTATAATGCAGATTCTTTATTTTAGCAAAGTGGAAGATGCATTCTATAATGGTGAACTCAGGCTGAATGGAGAAAAACTGTGGAAGAAAAGCAGAACTGTAAGTTTTCTTTTAAAAAAAAAAAAACCCCTCTAAAATAATATAGTACAAGATCATAACTATGGCTCATATTTTCTCTTCCCTGCTAGTCTGAAATCACTCATGCAGGTATTATAGGAGTCTATAAAACAATGAGTTATCCTGCATATAATGAGCTGTTGTACCTGGGGTTATAATGTAATGCTGTGTAAATAATGGATACTTTTATGTAAGAAGACAAAATATCCAGGTTTCAGGAATTTTCTAAGTGTATCTAGTTTAACTGGAGAATGGATGAATCAAAACAAATTATTGTATGTCTACTCCATCTTGACCAGGGTAGAAGTAGTTCTGTAAACTGAGTAGTACAGTTTATTCTTTTTCCCCTTCTTGAAAGGAATTTTTTGCCTTTAGATGTAATCATTTCCTCAGAAAACTTTGCAGAGATGTGGGGGGAAGAGAGCAATTGTAGCTGCATTAAATAGACTTATTGATTCTTAATAAACCCCCACAAATATTTACTTTTAATGAAGCCACCCACTATTAAAGCCACAAGGATTATTGTAGCTAGTTGGAGAAAAATATTATTTAAAAAAATATAGTTAGATGAAAGTGAGTAGATGATCCATACATTTATCATTACTTCCTACTCCCACTTCATCCCTTCTTAAGAGTTTCACTGACATTTTTTCCCTGTATTAAATAACTCCTATCTGCTTTCTTATCAGGAAATACTAGTCATCAGTTGAAGGATTTTTTTTTGTTCAAATTCTCTTTCAGGATATCATTCTTGATAAGCCCCAACCTCTGAATGTTCTTATTTGTAGCAGTTGTACTCTATTTTTAAGTCTGTAAAAATCTACTTCTGCCTCACTACCTGTAGTGAAATTTGGGGTTGAGGGGGTTGTTGTTCCCTTTCCTTAGCCTTTATCTACTTGTCTTTCTGTCCTTACACTATAAGCTGTTTGGTAAAGGGACTAGTCCATTTTGAATGTCTGGAAAGTATCCATCACATAGTGCTGAGATAGTGTTACAAAGATGGCACCTTTATGGCAAACCATTGTATACTCCCATAGACTGTCTTGCTTTTTGACACTTTTGCTCCTAGAAGCCTGTGGTGTTGGTTAGACATGATAGAAGTGGAGAAGCAACAGCAGTCATTGACTGGTAGAAGGAAAGAAGATGCTAGTAATTTGTAGTCATGGGACTCTTATGCAACATTCACACTAGCTTATGTATTTTGTGAGAGGAGGTTGGAGTTAGCACAGAAGATTGGAGGAGGATGTAGCTTTGGAAGGTGCTGAATGTACAGGCAGTCCCCGACTTACGCGGATCCGACTTATGTCGGATCCGCACTTACGAACGGGGCTTTCTCGCCCCGGAGGTCGAGGTGGCGGATTGCTGCCTGCGAGCTCCGGGGTGTGAGAGCCCCGTTCGTAAGCTGCTCCCGGTGCCCCTGGTCTCCTGGAGACGGTCCCCAGCAGACCAGGGGCACCGGGAGTAAATCCGCAGCCGCGGCGGTGTCCCGCACTTCTGAGGCTTTGCCAG